AATTTATTTTATGTAGCTTGTCTCTCTGAAGAATCTCATGTCTTTACCCCTTCTTATCAGCCAACAATGCAAGAGGGGCATTGTGCTTTCCTATTTGGAAGGCTGGGTTTTTTTCTTGTTAAGCAACAGGATTCTGATCAGTTACCATACCATTGTATCTGATACTTCATACTGCCTATTTAAATGAGACAAACAAGTGATCTACCATAGGGACTAGAACATGGGAGGAAACATGAAACAAATCAGTTTGAGTTAGCACTTAGGTTTTTAAATAAAAGAACTCATTAAGCACTGAGTATCTCCGAAGAGTCAAAGGATGTTTGGCCAGAACAGAATAAATTCACCAAAAAATACCAAATTCATGATAATGATTTTTATTATATGCTGATACAAAACCTAGACCTTTTAATATGTCAGAAGCACCTACCCCTGCACAGGCAATTGATCTGGAAACTGTCCTTAGATAGGACAGGCCAAGGTCTACAACACTGTTAAAGGAACTGCTCAAGCTTCACTTTCTTGACCTTCCTTTTGCTCATTCTATCAAAGTTTACAGCTATCCTGCAGGTGACCATTTAATAACCTTTTAATTCTCTTAGCCTCCAGAACCAAGAAACTTCCTGAAAAACCAGTCTGGTAAAAGTCTAACTTTCTGGGAAAGACAAAAACCAAAAACCAACCACAAAACCCACTCCACTTCTGTTGTTTTGTTGGTTTTTTTTTAAATAAAATCTGATTGTTGAAAACGTCCTAATGTGCCTTGACTGAAATACATCTTTGCAAAACAGTGAGCCTACATCCAGAGGAAGAAGGCTTCTATTAGCAGAATCATGGCAAACAAGACTGCAAAACACAGGAGGAAAGGATTTAGGTTTGAATGGGAAAAGGATACATCCTATTTAAAATGGTAGAGTTCTTTGAATAATATTTGTTAATTCCATTAACCTGAGAGAACAGACATACTTTTTTTCTGGTTCTATTGCTGAACAAAAAATTCAGCTGCATCATAACAGTTAACAGTGACACTGAATTTAAAATATGAACACATCTTCTATTTATTTTTATGCTTTAAAAGACCTTTAAGAAATAAATTCTGAAAAATATGTGTTCACTTACTGTTAATAATTTTCCCCTTACACTCTTAACTGTTTATTTGCACAGCTAGGTCGTGTACTGACTTTTTATAGCTGGCACTGCAGAAAGATATATGTTCAATGATAATGCAAACATTAAAAAAGAGAAACTAATTGCTCTTCCCTGAGTAGATATTAGAGAGGGAGTGAATAAACAAATTAACATTTATCTCCCACCTATAAATCTGAGTACTTCAGAGATTCCCAAGTAGTGCAACACCCTCACCCACTTAACTTCCTATCATTCTGAACCTCCTAATCGATGAGCTGGACATTTTTCACTCTGTTTATTAAAACTATTTCCACTGACTCTGCATTTGTAAAATTTGTTCAGTGTTGGCACACATGATTTTCACCTGATCTCTCAGACTTTCTTTTTTGTTGAAATTTCTGAAGCAATGCACTCATTGCATCTTGGGGACTTCAGTGCCACAGTCATGCTGTGGATGATAAGGGTAATAAAGGGGTACAATTTCACAGCAATGATGTGAAAGGGGTAATAAAGGGGTACATTGTCACAGCAATGCTCCTAAAGAAGTCAGGCTCTCATTCTCAGCTGTCCCAGCTCTGACAGCTTTAAACCCCATGACTACAGACTCTTCCTGGCTATTGATTTTCTATTGCTGTGGGCATTTAACTTGCAGAGATGAATGAAAAGAGGAGGAGGGGAAGCTAAAAGCAGAGTTGAGGCATCAGATGTCAGTGGCATCACTCAGACTTATTCACTGTTGAAGATCCCAGTAACATAATCTGAAAGGTTCCACACCCAACCAGATATTAAAGGTAGCCTGAGATTTGTGTTTGGACCCTCTATCCACACTGTGAATCCAAAATGTCTGGGCTGAAGCCAGGCTCTTTGTTAAGTTGATTTATGGACACAAGCACTTTACTTGTGTTCAATTAGTACTACTCTGAAGTTCACTGGCAACATTTATGCCACTTTCTCTGAGTTGGAATGAGGAGATCTGTTAATTACCATTCACATATTTTTAAATGCAGTCATCAATACCATCCACACATGACTCTATTTATTTCCTTGAGACACTAACACCACACAAGATGTCAGCTTCATCTTTTATTCCATGCATTTGCTTGAAAATACAAAATCTACCTCAGTCAGCTCTAGCTAATACCAGAAAAACTGCAATTTGCTGATTCATCAGCATACCTACCTTTCTTAAAAAAGCAAGAAAGTCTCACCTGATCTTTGCTGTACTAACACACACTTTACTATATGACACATTTGAGAGAGAAAATAAAAATCTATTCAGAGTTTTAATTCTTAAAAAAAAAAAACACAAAAAAAACCAAAAAAACAAACACGCCAAACCCCAAACATAATAAAAACGTTAAAAACCCACAGGTAGGAGTACTGCTGAAGAGTCTGAACTGGAGTCTAACAACATATGTCGACCATGTGCCTAACCCAGAAGACAAAGTCTATCAGCCTTGATGGAATGTGATTCTGTGACTGATACTTGCTAACCCTGCCCGAGGCATGTGCTGACATCTGTTAATGGATATGGAGAACAGTGACCTACCTCCAGAAAGGTTTTGCTTCCAAACCTCTCAAACAAAATGAAAGAACACCTGCCTAACAAGCCTGTTGACCTGCATACTGAATAATAAACTGTGGTCTGTTTTCATGAGGAAAGTGTACGTAATGCAAGGCAGCTTCACAAATTTATCTTCCCACTAATATATTAAAAGCAGAGTGATGGCTGACTTGTATAAACTGAAATCTTCTGCTCCTAGGGAAAAAATGCTGCATCAGTTTGCACCAGTAAATATATGGTAAGTGTTTGAGAAGAAACATACATTTTGATAAAATTGCCTATCTGATGCATATAAACCTACACTTTCTGTTGCATTAGAAATTCTCTCTGACATTAAGCTATGGCTGTTTATTATTAATCTCTCAATCTGTCAAGAAACAGGATATTTTGTGATCAAATTGGAATTTGGACACGCAGACACCCTAATAACTTGTAACTGGTAAAATCTACACCTATATTTCCCAAAATGTAAGTGTATGAAATGAAAGTAATCCTCAAGATGTTTCACAGTATTTTTATGTTTAATAAACTGTGTATGTTTTAATAACCTATGGTCACAATCCACATTCTCCAGCTAAAAGTAAAGACTCCAAATGTAACATAAAATACTCTCAGCAAAATGTACAGGAAAAAACCACAAACACAGACAAACAGATCCAGAAACTTTACAAGAAATTCCAGTATCAAACTACAACTTGCTGTAACATGAATAACCTATATATCCAACTACATTCTCAAAAGCTATTTGAACTTGTTGGTGTAAAAACAAAGTTAGAATAACCAACAAGTGCATAAATATATTTTCAGACAATTTGCTATCAGAAAAGCAGGCTTGAATCAATCAATTAATTTATTTATTTCTACACAATTGCCTTGTGTTTATTTAAGGGACCCACAGGAAAAATATTTCCTTTCCTGACATGGAAACAGCTTTTTAGATAAAGATCTATGGAGAAATCAAACCTTGTTCCTGTTTTCCTTCCATATTAGTCTCTCCCTTATGCCAGGCAAATGAGCAAAGGAAGGACCACCAGTGTTTTAAATTACAAACTATAGCTATTATTAATGTTGGAAATTTTTTTTATAGCACATAGGCTATAAAATTTTCCATCAGGTTTAATATTGATACACATGGTCTCTGAACAATAGGACTTAAATTCTCTTTTTTTCACCTAGAGAAAGTTATCTTAAGATTTGTATATCGTATGAACAAGGTAAGTCTTGATCCAAATCAGTTTCTCTGTTTACAAATATGATCGAGTAGCTCTGCACTATAAACTGCCATTAGTCTGTAAACATTACAAAGATTACAATCTGATGGGCAACAATTATTTTGTTTAACTGAGATTGACAAAACAGTGGAATTATTCAGCTTTTATATTATCCCCTACCCCGCCCCTTTACAAATTATGAGGTTCCTGCAATGTGTTGGGAATGGAGGGTTTTGGAATTCTTATTTCTTCAACAGTGACAGAAACAGTTTTTCAATATGTATAAATAAAGCTTGAATTGATAAAAGGTGCAAAACCTACTCATTTACTTTTATGCATGTGTAAAATATATATATAGGAGAAAAAAATGGAGAAAAAAATGCATTGCTCTCAGGTCAATCAGAAATTTCAGAGAAGTAAATCTGAAGCTATTCTCTTAATTTCCATATTGCATTTTTCCTAAAAGTGTTTCCAAATTAATCTTAAATGAATTCTAATCTTCAACCTGTAGTGAAATTGCTTCATTCACAACTGAATGATGATCTTGTCTGCAAAAAACACAGTAACTATTTTTAAAAGTACAGACACTTAGGTTTAAGATAAAAAGCATAGAATATCACAAACAAACCAAAGGTTTCTGCCCCTGTCCTCCTTTCTTCTTCCTATTTATTATAAAGACACTGGATGGCAGGTGTGAGGAAGAGACTGCACAGATCTGTCAAGAACCATTATTGTCTATTGGGTAGCCTTTGTATCATTCCTTAGATGTTAAAATGAATTATTGAGCATACAAAATATTTATTCCTTTTGTTCTTACTCTTAAGTACTAGGTTAGCAATAAAGAAACAAAACAAACCCTAAAACCCAGGAATGAAGTGTCCATTCTTTAAGTACATAGTCGAGGCATAAACACATAATCCAAGGCTAAAGAGACAGCACACACAATTTAGACCAACTGTGTCTAAAAATCCCAGTTACAGAGCATCAGTGTGAAAAGCAGTGAGAGCAGTCATCCTGGGCCAGAACAATTTCACATCAAGACCAACAAAACACTCCCAACACTGGCCAATGGAGATGTCTAGACTACGCTAAATACCTACATAGTCATACATCTCCAGCATATTCTCACAACGGCCACCAATCTTTTGCATAGCCAGAGGTTCAGGCTCTTTGTGCTTAAGAGAGAATGATGGATTTTTCTTCATCAGTTGGTCTGATAATTTTTTATGCCCTTGGAAACTTTCAGAATTTGCTGCACTACAGTCTGTTGACACTGAGTTGTACATCTTGGTTGCCAAATAGAAAAGTACCTGCCCCTCTGCATTTCTGAGCCTGACACCTGATAATTTCTACCAGATTTATAATTTGTACCATGAATTTCACAGCTAAGGAAGAAATGATACAGCTGATTATAAGTGTCTAACCAAATGCAGTAGTCCTCAAATGTTTACCAGCTGAACATTTTCACCTTTTCTACCTGTAACTGATTATCAGAGGCAAGAGTACACCTTGTCAATCCCTCAGATACAAGTTTCTTTTTTGGAGACAAATATACTTGTTAGAGAAAAACTAATTCTTGATTTCCATTATCCCAGTTATCAAAACAAAAACTTCTGTAAGAGAATCTATTAAAATCTCTGTTTAAATGCATCTCAAGGAGTGAGAATCTCCACATAAAAAAGCCTAGTCAAATGAAGCCTTCCTGGTTTTCTACTATCTGCAATATAAGTTCAGCTAAGGATTAACTGAAACAGAATACAGACCTCGGGATTTTTCCTGTCATTTTGTGTGTTCTGATTCATAACAAAAATAATACAACTGATAAGTCTTTCATTGCACTACAAAGATATCTTAAGAGTTTTATATTGCTCAGCTTGTCCTGTGGTTTTAGGGATGCACACTTCATAATAATTTATTCAGGAACGCTCTTTTACTGCTCAGGCTTTCTCTCTAAGGTTGTTGAGAGATTATCTATGCCCAAAGATGTGTTGCAAGAATTTTTACAGTGAAGTGAACATAATCAAATTTGATTTATACCTGCTTTTCCCTACCACATTGCAAGAAATATCTTCAGAGACCTCCACTTCCTTCCCTGAGATGAATAATCTTCTAAATAATGTCTTCCAAGCTCCCATAAGCAAAAGGCTAAAATTTAAGGCTTTGGTGTTCACCAAACTTGCAGACAACATGCTGAACACCTGGAGGTCATTTGCTTTGTTTCTTTTAACTTTTTCCTTCATCAATGAAGTGGAAAAAAACCCTTAATTATTTTGTACATTACATGTGTCAAATACAAATAATAGTTGTAAATATCGTATCAGTATATTTTGATTTATTAAGAAACTAACTTTAGTAATGTATGTATCTACTTTAGCTTTTACATCAAATAAACAAAGCACCCTGAACCTTCCAAATCCTTTAAAAACGGTTAACAGCTTCCTTGAAAGAAATAAGACAATATAAATTTTCTGCCTTTTGCTAAGCTTTTAGACTGGTTTTGCTGAGTTGTGGAATCAAACTGTTTAGCTGTTTTTTTTCCTTGCATCAGTTATTTTGCCTTTGTTTATGAACCAGTTCTGTTAATGATAAAGCATCTTCAGCTTTTTAGTGCATTTTCCCCCTTATTCACACCTTGGCATGTTTTAACTCAGAGATTTAAATGCACTTAAATATATGTTAAGAGATTTTTTGTTAGATTATAACATGGTCTGAGTAACAGCATATTAATATTTATTCTTTATTATAGTCATAGTAATGACTGATGTAAAAAAATATATCCTGACACAGTAGCTCCAAAATTCCCAAAAGGTTACAGATATGTGACTATTAAGTCCTCTGTTTTAATAAGCATCTCTGTTCAAGACAGCAATTAAGATGATACTTTTGAATTAAGCACACACAAAATTTAAGTATTTAGGTAAATGGTTAAATGCTTTCCTGAATTAAGGCCTAACTCTGCAGAAAGCATCCACCAAAAGTAGTGCATCTGCATGGACTACATAGTGGACTACATTATGCTGATGTCAGAGGAAAACTACCTCAGCCAAAGAAGAATGTGTGAACACAGCATTTTATGGTATGAGACATGATAACTAATAACCTCATACTGAGAATCATTCATTACCAATATTCTTACAGTAATTCCTCTTATGACTTTCATTTAATTGTTCTATCTCCAGGTGTGATGGTTTGACTCTGGCTAAATGCCAGGTATCCACCAAGTCGCTCTATCACCTGTCTCCC